TCTTGGACACCTCACCGTGGAGAAATGTTTGGCGAACTCGTTTTATAGATCAATAGTCGCCTTTGTAAACCCGTTGTTTAAGGCGAAATGGACCACTTCCTTTCATAGTTAAAAGGTTTACGTGTAGCTGATTAGACCAACACGGGAAATGCACAAGTTTCCACAAGTAGAGCGTGTGAAAGGATCTTCAATGACAGTAGAGGAAGGATTCTAGTATCAGAGTTTTCTTAGACAACAGAAGGATGATTTCAAGAGGTCAACAGCTTTGTTCTGTTTTTTTTTTTCACTTTAAATATAACTGAAAGTACAAATTCTATTGATAAAAGAAAATAAAGCGATAATCAATCAATATTGTTTCAGTATCGGTTGTATTTGATTCGGATGTCTACAAGATTTCTAATTTTTCTTATTCTTACTCGTTGTTTTTTTTATTGCTTTCCTTCCGTTCATTGACTGGAATATTTTCTTCACTGATAAAATATGTTTGCAGCACAGAAGAACATTATAATTGAACACTGAATTTTTTAATAACCTTTTTATTCACCAGAAAATTGTTCATGTTAATTTGGATGCTAAGTATCTGAAGGTTGTAATTCCTAATAGCATAATCCATTGTTGTTGTTGTTGTTGTTGTAGAGAGCGTTTTTCAGATGATGTCGACCGGTTTCTTTTTTTTTATCCTATCACTCGAACGGATGCACTTCTCTTTATAGGTCCATGCATAACTAATTATGTTTATATTACCCCCCCCCCCATCTCTCTGGATATAAAATATATCAGATGAGATCAATCTCTGTATTATGGCTGATTGGACCAACATTTTCCGTAAGAATACTTTCGAATTTTGACATGCACTACCCTATTCCAATAAAGTACCTCAGGATCATTACTCTTGTACCAAGGCTCATATTTGTGGCCTTGTGCCAGACTCCTCGCTAAAATTAGTCAATATCTGTACACTGGGTAGTGAGACAGTTGTGTAAACTTTACGAATTTAAAAGATTGGTTTAATTCTATTTTCCGACTTCTTCTCATTGAGTAGAATGCAAGACACAGTGGCTGGATGGATAAGGAGAGAGGAAGGGATAAAGAGAATGCAAGGGCGTGAATATGTAAGAGAGAAAGAGAGAGAGAGAGAGAAAGAAAATAGAAAAGGGGAGACGCTAAGAAAGAGGACATGACTGATGTTAAGATTTTCGGGTTTAGTGTTCTTAATACTTGCAGTCGGAGACGTGACGTACTGGAGTATAAATAAGTATCAGATCACTGCTAATCGATTAGTTGAATTGGAAAAGTCAAAAATATACCGAATGAAATAAAAATTGATCAATACTCTAGGAGCCATTAGAACAAGGATCTTCATTCCTGTTGTTTTTATCAGAATATATAAACCATATTATAAGCAACTGTACTCAAATTTGACTAAATCTTAGGCCAACCACAACACTGACGATAGTATAGGTTAAACAACTTCAAAGAAATATATATATATATATATATATATATATATATATGTTTATAAACTTGAATCTTCCATGAATCTCGTACATTCATAACTGCTCTGGCGTATCGAATGTAAACAAATGACGTCATATGTTAAGAAATGGACAAAGGTCCGACAATTTATTTAATAAAGACATTTTTTTATGTTTAACGTTGTTATTTTTAAACATAAAAATTCGATACGCCAGTCAGTTATGGAATGTACGAGATTCATGGAAGATTGAAGTTTATAAACAGTAAATTCGACCTTGTCTACCGTAAGGTTCTTTGTGGCCGAGACGGTTAAGGCACGTCAGCGTATATATATATATATAAAGCAAAATGTAAAATAAGATAAAAAGAATAAATAAGTGCATTACTATATTAATTAATTCTACTTATTAGTTTTTTTTTCAAGACCAGCAGCCAGGTTAACTTTGTCAGCAATGCCAGATTTACTACTGAGGTATGAGTAAATGGTAGTGTCGTCTGCGTAAATGCCTACTTGAGAACTGATGACATCAGGAAGATCGTTGATGACGATCAGAAACATTGTAGGACCCATGATAGAGCCTGGAGAAATACCAGCGTTCGTATGAACAGAACTGGAGGAGAACCTGTTTAGAGCGACCTTCATTTCATGGTTTGACAGGAATGATTGGAATAAATCAATAATCGTCCCGTAATACCATATCCGTGAAGCTTACGGCATGCAAAACCCTATCAAATGCCTTAGAGATATCTAGAGCCACAGTTCGAACTACACCGTTGTTATCGAGAGCTTGATATACAAATTCAGCAATGGCCGTAAGCAAGTCAGCGGTAGATTGGGTAAAGCGGAAGCCATATTGTTTGCCAGAGAGTAGATCATCGAATGTGAGGTGCTTAAACACTTCGGCATTGATGAAAGCCTCCAAGAATTTTCCGAGTTACATTGAAATCTCTCTCATTTCTAATCAGTGAACCCAATCCTAAAAAAATGAAACAACAAGCAATCCGAATACTGGTTCAAATTATTATTAAAAATATCCTGTATACACATACGCACACACACACACACTATATATATATATATATATATATATATATATATATATATATGTGTGTGTGAAATATTTCAGTGTTAACCTGTAGTAAAAGACAATAGGAAAATTGCATTATTAATCGACGTATTTTGTCCAATGTGGACCTTTTCAATGCAAAAACGAAATGAATTTATTGAAAACAATGTAACTATTAATAACAAAACAAAATGTCCTTAGCATCTGGAAGAATTTAGAAAACGCGACTGTATTCATATTGTCAACTGAAAATTACGCCAAGTACTGTCACGTGTAGAAATATTGTTTTTATTGTTGTGTTGACGGATTCAACCATTTTCTTTTGATTTCTTGATACAGTTGTGTGCGTTTGGTTGGTTAACCTATCCCATTTAAATAATCTTAAAATAATTACAAACACATACAAAAAAAAAAGATAAAAGCGATAAAAAATAGTTAAATATTCTTTTCCTGCTGATAGATTTTTTTTTTTTACTCCTGAAACAGTGGAGACTTATGGGGTTTTTGGCCCTCTTTCGATGGCATTTCTTCAGAGGATTTGCGCGACTGCGTTTCGATTAAGGGATGAGCCTTGCAAAACAGAGTGGCTCATGCAGCGTGTCTCACTAGCGATTGTTCGAGATAATGCTTTCTCCATCATTGCGGCTGGCAGAGGATAGAAAAAAACAACAACAAAGAAATTTTGTTTATAGTTACTTTGTTTAAACTTTTTTCAATAAATTACGTCACCTGTTGACTTATAGAAAACACAAAAAGATAGATTAAAAATAATGTAAGCACTAATAATAAAAAGGAAAAAGCCATCAGTCAATAACATTAAAAATGAATATTGCCACACTTCCAAAACCATTGTGGTTAGAATCAGATCCTTAAACACTAATAGCAATAATATGTCTGAAGCAGGCATTTATAAAATAAATTTAATTGTTCTTTGCAATATATTGGAGAAACAAGAAGAAATAAAAAAACGCATCTTTGAGCACAAAGGAGACCTAAAACCAACTTAACTAGTGCACTAGTCATACACAGAAATAAATTCAACCACAATTTTGATTTTAGAAATGCTACACTCATAAAAAAAGAAAATAACTCACTCAGAAGGAAAATCTTCGCGAGTGTCGCCATTGAATATAATCCAAATATTAATCTAGGCCCAGATTTTTCCCAATATCACCTTTCCTAAACGAATTACTACTCTCCCAAGCCAACGTACACATCTTCTCTTCTATTCTCAGCATTCATCTCAGCTTTATCTGTGAAAAGTCTGTCCAGTATTCAATGTCGTATAGGAGAGAATTAGATATTACATCGCAGGTCATCACTCTTTTGTTTCTAATGAAATGTTCCTATCTCTTAATACTTTACTTATCTTAAGAAAGACATGAAGAGATTGTCCAACATGCATTGCTATATAAGAAATTAGTTAATACATAGCATTTCAGCATTCTTTTCTTTGTTTCTGACTACATTTTCCTATCTCTTAATACATTGCTTATTTTCTAAAAGGCATGAAGTGATTGTCCAGCATTCACTGCAATATAGGTGATTCGATATTTTATACCAGTTCAGTACTCTTTTTCTTTGTTTCCGTTGTAACCAAGAAAGATTTACTAAATGTGGAATAACTAAAACAGAGGTTGGAAATGAAATGGTAATATTTATAACATCAGCAAAATACAATACTCGCCAGCGGCGTGAAGTAGGTAAACCACTGCTAGTAGTGGACTACTTAGACAGCATATTACCCACCCCCCACTTACAATAGTGCCCAACGTATTTATAAGGATTAGAACATACCCATTAGTGTTCATAGGTACGGTATATAGCAGTTTCTAATGGAATTTTCCTATTCTCGCTAGATGTATGAATATAACAAAAATTAATAATAAAATTGACAAATTTTCTAAATTAATGATTAAACTGTAATAAGTCCTGGCGATATCCGTCCGTTAGCAAAATGGCGTAAAGCGAAATAAATTTTGCAATTGGCTCATTATGAACAAGAGTTAAATCGCAAAAATGTATCTGTTATACTGTTTCTTGGTCATGTTCGTAGCTGAGTCCAAGCTGAGGTGGTGTAATGCACCTTTATAAGTCTGCTATTCACCCGTGATTTGAATATTGTTGTCAAATCGTGTCTGGAGCTTTCGCTATGTATCTAGAGACTCTGGACAAAATCCAAAGAAGAATCTGCAATATTATCAGTCACGACCTGGCATCTCGGACAGAAGCACTTTCCCACCGGCGCTCTAACGTAGCTTCGCTGTGCATTTTCTATAAATATTTTCATGTAATTTTTCTGATGAGCTTTCCACTTTGATACGTCGACATCGCGAATTTGAACGCAGTACTAGATTGACAGTTAGGTTTCATCATTGTACTGTGGAAATTGCTAAATGTAGCCGTAAGTTCTATTCTAATAGTTTTTCACATACACTTCTCGCCTATAGAAAGTTTACGGCTGCACCACGTAGAAATACCAGTTCCTGTATGAACACCGAAATTAAGCAACGTCGAGTCTGGTCAGTACTTAGATGGGTGACCGCTTGGTGCAAAAAGCTTAGATGTGTGGGTGGTGTAATAAATAATGGTTCGCAAATTTGTTATCGGACAGCTGAGATTCAATTCCCGCTGGACTCGTTATATTCATTTACGAGCAAATTCCGTTGGGAAAGGTACGGATCCCCCTCTTCTCCCCCAACTATGGGTTAATTAGCAAGAGTAAATCGTTATTGTCTCAAAAAGAGAATTCTTACAGTAAAAATTATATTCTTTAAATAACATTCAAATGTTTTATAAGCCGTAAAAAACGAATCAATCACCTATGAAAATCTGTTGGGGGAACTGGTTAAAAATAACCCTGAGAAAGTTATGAATTCTTTTCTACCCATATCTATGGATTAAATAGCAGAACAAACCGGTCTCTCTAGGTTTGGTTGGCAAACAGTCTAGTAGAATGATAACCCTGAATTTAAAACTCACTCCAATAAAAATATACAGTCTGTTGGCACTGAAGAGAATAATGTTTTTATTTCGCGTTAGTTTCATAATCATTAAATTTGTTATGATTTGAATGTAAGTATTCATTTTTCGGTATAACCTCGAATTGGCCGGAGAGTTATTGGTCTGGAGTGTTTGTCCAAGAGCAAAGACTGGCTATCCATTTAATTTCTAAAATATTTAAGATTTAGTCTTTTGTTATTTTTTTGTACATGCAGACGATACACAGTGCAAATTCCGCCATCATTGCACCTGAGTTGAATCCTGGAATAAATATGTGCAAAGCGAAAATTGTAACGAGCATCTCCGATCGCGACTCAATTCAAAATGGAGCCAGAGTAATGACTGTAGAGCACGAGAAAACGGAAAAAAAATTCTAGGAACGCATTTTTTTAACGCCCCGTTTGTTGTTATGCGTTTAAATGATTATCGGCCATTTTACTTTTTTTTAGAATATCTGATTTGATTTTGTTTATCATCAACGTTGTATCTAAACGACGCATAAAGAAACAATGTTAAGCGGGGACCTACTGTGTATTTAAATACATTTGTGTACGCGTATATTTAATCAGCTATAGGATTTATTCGAATTTTAATACAATCAGAAATATTTCTTTTTGCAAAATATGTTTCGAAAACGGATGTGAAAAATATACACTTGTTTCTATCAATATCTACAACTACTCTTCTTCCCTTCTTTCTATCTTGCATGTATGTTTCGATGCACGCGCCAACGGACAGGCATGTGGATGCACGCCTGATTTAGCAGCCATTTTAATAATAGCCCCCAAATGCATTTAACTTCGGAGAAGTTATTATATTTTCAATTTCGTATTTAGTCTTTAGAGAGAACCGCCCTCTACTGACGAATTCTATACACTAGAAATCCAGCCTACCTTAGAAAATATCTTCTTAGAGACGTCATTTGAAAGCAATATTCCAACTATTGTTGGTACTTTTTGAAAATGTAGAAATTTAGCTCGGAGAAGTTATTTTAAGAAACATTAAACCAATGTACAATTTACAATGCACCCGAAATCGTGGGTTTCTTTTGGTAATATTTTTATTTTTCAGTAACAATTTTAAAATGCGAACTTTTGCGGAGAATTTGGACGTCGTAATTTGGAGTAGAAGATGCAGTTTTATATCGAGCATCGACAGGTGAATTATTTTGTGGAAAAGCGTCTGGCAAAGGTACAAGGTGTCCCCCCACAAAAATTTAACATAATTTTAAAAGCAATTATCTTGATAACTACTAAGTCTAGCTCAATGAAATTGAAGAGTTCAGTTGTTGAACATCATAAGTTTATTATGGGACCGATTTCATAAGTATTCAATATGAGCTCCGCCTGTGACACGGCACACGCCAAGTCGGTAGTTAAGCACTTGTCAAACACGTTGTAGCATGTCTTCCGTAACATTATCCAGTTTGGAAGTGATTCTCTGCTTGAGTTCATCAATGCTAGCGAGAAGAGTGGAGACATAGACCAGTCCCTTCACATATCACCATAAAAAGAAATCACACGGGGACAGGTCCGGTGACCGCGGCGGCCATTTCATCAGAAAACTGTCTTCATCTCCACCATGAACGATCCATCTCTTTGGCAGATTCTCATCGAGATAACAAAAATAAAACATTAAATATAAAATCTTGATCTGTTGCTTTACATTCTGTAAAAAATTGAGGTTATTTCAACAATAATTGCCAAAATTATTGGCCTACGAAATGATGTCAGATTTTTTGGACACTTTGTATGTCCTGTAAAACTATACTCCACGCAACATTTAATTTCGATTGTACAATCATTAGCAATGAATTTATATTAACCATCTTAACCATAATTATGAATATATATGACCAATTGAAAACTTTTACTTTGAAATGTTTCACCGATCATCAAAAGTCAAAATCCTTTTTTTTCAAATTGTTTTATATTTATCAATCCGTTCGACTCTCATCCAAATTTAACTTGAACATAATACATCGCCATTTCTCTTAGTACCGATTGAATTAAAACCTGACAAGAAAAATAATTATATTTACATTATATATGCAGTAATCATGTTCTGTCAGTAATACGTATAGAAATTCCCGACACCTGACAATCTCCTTCTTCCTGACTTCAACGTATTTCTATAAAAAAAAAGCATATCCAATGAATTTGCATTATACATAGGACATCCCTATTCTATAAATAACGCTTGCATCAATTCCTGACTACTGGCAATCACTTTCTTTAAGATTTTCAATGTATTTCTATTAGAAAATCATTAGCAATGCATTTACATTATACATGCAATAATCATGTTCTGTCAACGATTAAAACAATTCCGGACCACTGACAATATTTATTCTTGAATTTGAATGTATTTCTAGATAAAATCATTCGTAATGAATTTACATAATGCATATAATAACCCTTGTCTGCTTGTAACACTTTCATAACTTTCTTACCAGCAAATCCTTGTTTCTTCATTTACAATGCGGTTCTATAATAAATCGATTAACAAAACATTTCTCTTATGTATTTAACAGCTCTTTTGATATTATCATTATGTGTTTTTGTTATTTGATCCACCAGCCTCATCTTGTATTTTTTTTTATCCACAGACTTGACAAGTGGGTATTACCATATAAAAAAATATGTCATAATCATGGATAGTGGAATGAGATCAATCTGACCCCAACCCCGTGAACTCAAGAAAGGTTTCGATTCGAAATACCAAGAATGTTACAGAATACAAAGAAAAACAGCTGAAGAAGACCGCGGAGAAGAACGACCGAAACGTGGTAAATATAGCCAAATAAATAAATAATAAAAAGTATACTCGTTCAAATAGCAAATCCTATAATAATTCCTTACCTCAAAAATATCGGAAGAACATGTTTGATTTGTTACTTTTTTCAATATATCTGTTCAATTATTCATTGACCTTGTGTTTTTATAAAGATAGGCCTCTTGTAGCCTGTTGAGAAAATTTAATGTATAGAAGAGAAAAAAATCTAACGAATGACTTGAAGCATAAGACCATTCTAGACGAGGAAATGGGAAAATCTTCCTGGAAATAAATCAAGAAAAAAAAACAATGAAAAAGGCAAGACGATAGAAAGAATAAAAAGAAGAAGGAAAGAAAGCAGGTGGAAAACGGGGGGGAAGTCAGGGGTGCTTGAAAAATGTAGAAAAGTTAAGAGGGTGGGGTGCGGAAAGCAGTATGGAAGAAAAGCAGGAAGAATGGCGGAACGAAAGCCGGAAGCAAGTACTCCTATTTGGGATGTACGCTTTTGAACGACGAATATCTTCAATATACTTTGACAAAGTCATCACATGTATGTATGTATGTATGTATGTATGTATTTATATATGAAAATGGAGAATTTATTGACAGTTGTTTGCCATTCGTCATATAAAATGAACGAACATGTGCTTGGTTGGCGACCAGTCAAAGAGAAGGACAACTCTGAATTTAAAACCCAAGGTGTGTCTTTTTGAGACTAAGCGTCACATGATGTGCACCAGTTCTCTGTATTTGGTTCTTTCGAAAAGTAGTTTTAGTTCTACACAAGACTTCACCACTATAATAATTAACTCATAAGTGTGGATAGTGTGGCGGTTCGGTTCTAATAACTGAGCTGCTGGACTCTCATACGCCGAATACACTATTTTCTATTTCTCTCTATATATATAGACACTCACTATTTTTCGAAACATACTTTCATGAACGTTTTTTCCAATTGTTTTATATATATATATATATATATATATATATATATATGCACGCGCGCGCACACACACTATATATATATATATATATATATATGTATGTACGCATACACACACATTGTACAGGTTTCGATGGATAAATCGTTTAAAATAACATTGACATGTCATCTTAACAGATATATTTACCAAAATTACGCAAAAAAACATTGAAATGCTAAAGAGTAAATATTTTCAATAAAATCGCCATTGTCTGCAACCACGGACCCCAGACGACTTCTATTTCAACTCGTCTGGACGGTCTCCTTTTGGTGAATACTGTCATAATCTTTGCCTTCAGTTCATCTTTGGTGCACTCCACACTGTAATAGTTGCCAACGCGTTTCGTCCAATGTGGACTTTTTCAAGGCAAAAATGAAATGAATTTATTCAACAAAGTAACTAATGATAAAAAAACAAAATGTCCTTAGCAACTGGAAGAATTTAGAGAATATAGCCTTCTCTAAATTCTTCGAGTTGCTAAGAATATTTAGTTTTTGTTATTATTAGTTACTTTGTTTAATAAATTCATTTCGTTTTTGCCTTGAAAATGTCCAAATTGGACGAAACGCGTCGGCTACTATTACAGTTTTCCTATTGTCTTATATATATATATATTTACAATTTTCGGCGAAACTTTTGTATATACAAATAAACATTATGGATAATGTTCTTGTTTTTGTTCTGTTTTTCTTTAACCACTTTCGACTGTTTCATTCATTATGAAGAACTGAGTATTGTCCGTATGATAGTCAACTGTTGTCTATTATTCTGGCTCTCTATATTAACACA